GAGCACAAACTTTTGAAGGTAGGTGTAGCTTGATATTGGGAAAGAAAAAGGCAAGTGTAATTTCGCTTGACGCTCTTGCTCCACGATCGTGTATAAATGGGATAGTCGCTTTTGTTATTGTGGGATCCGACTTCATCGTAGGGGGCACGCGTGTATTGTAGAAAGCAAGGTGTTGACATACAGAAAGGCAAGGAAGGAGAGAGTTGATGCAAATACTCCCCTTTTACTTACGAATCTTCTTGTTATATATTTTTGGAACTTGTGTTGTATACCTTGCCGGCAGGGTTGGCTGTGACTACACGGAGTTCCGTGGGCCTTGAAGAAAGCGAAGGATGCGGGTCGGAACTATCCCGACAAGGGATTCCGAAAAAAGGGGGTGGCTGGACAGACAGGGGGAACTGCAATGAATGGTCTTCTCGGTAACTTGTTTTTTTTTGCAGGACACAAAAATTCTGGCGGTAATGCCATTCGGCGGTAGGCGGTACAAGTACTATTGCATATCTTGCATATTTTGGCCGTGAAGGCTTTGGAAGGGGCTAAAACCAATAGGGGGCATCTATTTCCAATTGGCCGTATGGAATTTGACGGTGGGCAGTATTGCTGAGTTTTTCTGCGGTAACGACTTTTTGACGGGGGGGGTGGGGGTGTATACAAAGCCATGCGAGGGGAAGCCCTCGCGCATGAGGCCTGTACGCCCGTCGCGCACACGACCGGAGCAAACGATACACGTCAAAACAAAAAGTGCCCCACCGAGTGAGTCAGAGAGAGCAAAACCGTGCCCTCTCTAAAACCAGGAAACTAAAAAAAATCGACAAGACTTAAAGGCGAGACGTTCACGCGAACGATGAGCACTGAAGCGAAGGACCGGTGTCCAAATGCCAGACGACGCCACAATGTTATGGAGGAACAGAGAAATAAAAGAGGGAAGGGAGCAAGTTCGTTGCTCCTGGCTTCGGGTACTCACAGTTAGTTGTTGTTTGATCTCTTGTTTAGCCTTCTTTGACCAGGTCCGCTCAGCGCCCACTCGGAGAGTGAGGGAGCGGGGCTGGGATTTTGATCTTCCTTCAAGCTACTTCAATACCCCTCAACGTCGCCAAATATCCACATCCAAAGAAAATTCAAAATATCCAATAAGCCCTCATACAACGTTCATGAAACGCTCGTACAATGCAAATACACTAGTTGCTCCATTACATGTACTCATAGTCGTGCATGCCGTAGTCGTTAGACCATTGACCTCCCATCCCTACAAAGCCGGGACGGAGCGCGCCGGGTTCTCACCGGACCAGGCTCTCAAATCACCAAGCGCGAAGCGCCGTGAGGTATTTCGCGAGTCGCTTGAAGGGTGCGCTGCATCCTGCTATGAGTGTTTGGCATCTTGCGCTTACTTCCTTGCGTACCGGCGACAGCTGCGTATGACGTAATTTATTTTCTGGTGCTTTCACTTCCAGAGACAGTTATAAGCACTGTGTAACTGCCTCGAGGATGCTTGACCGTTTTAACCCAACGTGGTGCGATCATCCCCCTTGCGCGGAGTGAGGGTTCTCGACCCCGCGCAACATGATCTACTCGACCACCAATATGGTAAACGCAAAAAAAAAAAGCAGAGAGGTACAAAAAAAGCCGGTAACCTGGTTGCCGAGTTCACGAAGTGAATTTGCTTGATTTATAACGTCGTTGCCAAGCGACGAAAATCCAATCCCGATGGCAAACACCGAGGGGGGGGCTTGTTTTACAACGTCGTTGCCACGCGCCGAAAACCCAACTCCGATGGCAAACACCGAGGAAGGTGGGGGGGGGTACTCATAGTCGTGCATGCCGTCGTGGACGGGGGAGGAGGAGAAAAAACCCAACAATGGGAGAGGCCGTAAACCAGCGGTATGCTCTGTCGTACCGGTACCGCCCACCAGGGAGGTCGGTAGTTTCACGGACGGAAATTCGGAGTCATCATAGAGTATACCACACAGATTTTGGGTTTGACCGGTGGGATTTTCTCGCCAAACGCTTCTCGTCTCTTGGTTTGCCATTTTGCCGGTGGTGCGATAATGGGTTATTCCCAAGTTCCTACTTCTCGCCATCGATCCGTAGAATACAATATATAGTCAATGAGCGGGAACCACAAGCATTCACTTTACGTAGGTTGCATGAAAACCTAGACCGATTCAAAGTCCAATCATCCACGACCACAACGAACGGAGGAAGGTTCAATAAGAAAAAACACGTTATTACGATTTCGGGAAGCTCTCACCGCACTCACTGCCTCATACTTTGGAAAAGGCCGACCACGAATGAATTGCTCGGGTCTTGCTAAGAAGAAGTACATATACGCAATGCAATATTTCTAGTGAACTCCCGCATCGAACCGGACCATCGTACTGCATAATAGATAGGCCACTCGTTCACTACGTTCGTTCTTGGGTACGCTTGCACGCTACTCGTAATACTCTCGGTGGTCGATCGACAGGTTGGATAGTCTGGGATGCGGCTTTGAAGTCCCTGTAGGCTCAACCGCTTTGTCACGAGGTGTTTGAAGTATCGCAGCCTGGTCAAGGAATAGAAGGCGCTCATTTAGATATTTCAAGGGTGGGGGGGGAAGTGTCGAGAAAATTGTCCACATCACCATCAGCAGCGCCTCCGTCGCCTGCCAGATGGCTTTATGCGGGCAATTGCGTCGTCGCTTGCCGTCAGGTTCCGAAGTTTTAGCGATAGCATTGTTTTCAAGGTTGAAAACATCAACACCACAGCTGTAACTCTGACAACGAAAGTATTTCGGTTGATGATAATGGTGTGAGGGAGGTCAGAAGCACCCAAAACAAGACAGAGCAGACGGAGAGCGAAGCAGAAAGGGGGCAAGTGGGTTGGGGAGATCATCGGAAGAAAAGCCTTGTTGTCTGAAAGAGAAACGTTATTCGTTATAAACACGATTTTTTCTCGGAACCCGAGCAAGCAAATAAATGGAGAGTACAACACACATCTCATCACAGTCACTATTAAAATTTATTGTTCCCTCATTTCGTCAATTTCCGATGTCACCAACCAGTATCATCTCGGGCACTCGGGCATGGTCATGGTTGCTTCCTTCCCGATCAATCATATCCTCTGTGTTTGTTATATTCCCGCCATCCCGATGTAGTCTATGTATGTATGTATGTGCGCCCCATTCACATTGCCAACGTTTATTCGCGTGACAACACAGCAGTAGCACGCCCAGCAGCCGCCACACAAGGAATACGATACGGCTACAACATAGCTCTCGCATGTTATGCAGACAAGGTACATACATGCATACAGTGTTCGTGGTATATACATACGTGAAATGCATTCAAATCTAATCGTCTTTCGCTTCGAATTCGACAGCACGCTACCGTTGCCCGATTTGAATCATCTGACAGGGAATTAATTCCATCTCTCACATGCTTAGCCCGTCCGGCGCGGTGGACATTGCAACCAACCCCGATGGATGTGTACTCGTCCAATGGAACCAGGTTGTGCAGGGTTGTCAGATGAGGAGTGCAGGAGGCAAGGAGTGACGATCGACGGGAGGTATTACCCCAGCCCGGGCATGCAATCTCTGACGAACAAACAACGTGGACCCCCCCCGAACCTCTGGCATGCATTGATTGCCAGGCCCATCGCTCTATATCAAACCCAAGACATCAACCTCCCATAGAGTGCATCTTCCTAGTTGGGTTGACGAGGCTGTGCAGTACGTACGCTTCTATTCCTTCAATATTGGAAGAGGTGCGGGTGTGGCGCATGCATGTGTACATCGCGGGCATGGGAGCGGGAAAATTGATGATGTCTGTCATGTGGGTCTTGCACGAATTGGAAGGAGTGTTTCCCCGCCTGATTTCCGCACATGACCTCCAACCATGGGGTATTCTCTAACCGTGCCTCTGTCGCGTCGTGGCTGCACACGCCAGGCACATACCTACAAGTAGTAGCGGTTTCGTGTTCGTCTCCCGCACCGAACACGGAAGACCAACTCTGCCGCGCTTGTGCCGCCGTTCGCTAGTTCTCACCACGTGTTGCACGGGCTGTGAACCCCAACCGTCCTCCATGGAACATGTAGATAACGCAGTTCCTCCGCAGAAAAAAATCGCAAATAAATGTTTTGCGGCGAATGGGGCTACTGAAGAACAGTCCCGCCCAAGAAATTGGAGAGTGCCGAGCTCCTTCTTCCCATCAGACAAAGAGTGACATACCATGCATGCCCGTGACTTCCAGATAAAGCAGTATTTCAGGGTAACAATAGTAGTGCAGAAAAACAAGTTGATACCTGGTAGATATGAAAATTGAGCTTATTAATTTGGACGGTTAAGGATTAGAGGCAGCCAGCGATCCGAGAGGAGTTTCCAGCAGAAACGCACCCCCAAGGCACAACTAGTTTCACACTTACTTGCGACGATCGATCGACCTTGATGGTTCTTGCTTGCTCCTGGATTTTGAGCAATAACTGCCACTACGCACAGTAGTAGCAGCTGCGAAAATTAAAGGGTTTAAGGCCTTCCTTGGTATTCACAGCTTGGAATAAAAACTTCACTTTGTCACCCTTGTGTTTCAAAGTTCCCCTTCCATTTTCGTGGCATGTCGGACATGATATTATTTTGCCGAGGATGTCATTTGCGACAATGTAAGGCGGGGGATATATTATGATTCTGCTCAGAGGCGCTCGTGTACTTGCTTGCTCGTACACACGCTCAAACATTTCCTCCGCACACACGCAGGGAAAATAAGCAACACAGACGAAGTACGCATGAAGGGGCCAATGGGAAAGTCTTACCTGCCGATGGAACCCCAACAAAAACGTGTCAATGCCAACGGTCGACACGGTCAATAGCCCCTTTCGAAGACTTTCATTAATTTCATCCCTCTGTTGCTCGAAGCCATGTCAGACGTCTATTCTGCCGTACCAACCCGTGGGAAAACATCCTTAGCTACATCTTGCTCGTAGCCTATTCTTGAGCACTGCTTCTGCAGCAGCAGGAGTGGTTAAACAAAAAAACATATCCGTCGAGCAGACTCGAAGCTACCACCTGGACGGTCGCAAGATTTTGCTCGAGAAAGTCATGCCTGACCCTGCTGATAACCGTGCTGTTATCTCTCCCGGCCTCAAGCTACCCCCCACCCAGTCATACTAGCGCCCAAGAGCACACCACTTGAGTGAGGACATGACATAATGGACGAGAATACACTACAGCACACCAAACGACAAACACACTTAAAGACACCCACATCAGATATCACCAGGGAAGGAAGTCAACCGAATTGGGAAGCTTACCGCCATCCCCCTTCTACAATCGCCATTTGCTCGGCGATGCCCACAAGGTATCAACAAGATCGTGCGCACGCTCCAACTACAGCGACAGGATGGCCGACCACCACACCACGGAACCCAAGTCACACGTGACTAGGAAATCCGATCCCTCCCTACCTCGTCATGGTAAGCACCAGGCACGGGCTGGGCGCCTTTCGCATGGTCATCGGGACAACAACACGGCAAGGGGAGGCAGACCTGCTGCTTCGTGCTAAGAAGGCCAGATCTACGCCACGGAAACAATATAGCTATGATTTGACTTTCCTCCTCTGGGGCAAGCTCTGGACGCTAGGCTCGAGCAAACTTCACCACTACTACAATATAGACAGGACGATCATGGTGATTCTTCCTACGGCGTAATGTGCTCCATAGGCCGGAGAATGTTCGTGTCTTCTCCAATCAATGCACGCATGTACCGCCACGTGCTCATTGTAAATGGTTTTCACGTTACACTGATCTCGCCAGCTTTTTGAGCTCCCCGTATTGCCCCTTCGCCCCGCACGATCAACGTCCAAATTACACCCATCCAATGAGCGGCGTGGGGGTACCCACGATAGGCTCGGCGACAAGGTACCAGACTCACGATTTTATCAGGAACTCTCTCAGCCTGTGCCAATGCAATAGGGGGGACTATTATAGCACAGCAGTAGCTCGTGGCAGCCTTCGGCGCGCTGGTTTGACGAACAACGATCAAAAAGCCAATCGCATTTCGCTTGCGACGACCTGTTGTTCACCTACGGCTGACCCTAACCCTAAGGCAAAGGTGGGGGGGTTGCAATGACGGCGTCACGTGACAGTGTAATCGCTCACCGGCAGGGAACAGTATCAATGAAATATTCTTGCGACGGCTCTGGCGAAGACAGGCATCCCGACAGAGAACAAACTGCAGACCCCGAATGAACGCATTCACATCGCATTCGTGGCGGATACACACAACCCCACCTTCCCCCGTCCAGTTACCGATTCACCCCAACTTGTTTTTCTCCCACAAAAAAAAGAAGGACTCGCTGAGAGAGCGTCACGCATTGGTGTGCTTCCTCCGTGACTTGACTCCGCCACTGGGGGTTAGGTCCCCCTTGAATAAGACGGCTGTGATTATTCGCGGTTCGAAGACTTGCAGGCGCCCTCTATCCATATTTGTTGGCTCGGGGTGCTGCGAACAAGCCAAGTTTCACACGAACCTGTCACGATCATTTCCGCAACGGTTTCACGGCTTAAGGTGCTCCTCTAGGTGGTCGCCCATATCCTTCAGGATCGCCTGGTGGTGGTGGTGGTGGCAAGCGGAAGCAGAGGACAAAGACGCAATTGAATAAAAGGTGCCGAGGACGGGTGCACCAAAAAACAGTGGTAGCATTACCAAGTGCAAAGCAACACACAAAAAGAGGGAAAACAAAGACTCGAACCGGCAAACGGCACCGCGGTGGGTAATGAACTTGGTGAAAAACAATGCGTTCAAGATGGAGCACAGACAGGCTTTCATTCGGGGGCCCTTAACGCTAATATTGCCTCCTTCAGATAATGCTGTTGCTTCCCATCGTCTCCATGTCTGGTGACATTGCGGTGCATGGGCTATTCCCCATCCGTTTCACTCTTGGGGACATATCCTGCCTCCCTCTGCGGCCGACGATCAGCCTAGCCTAACAACTGCACGATGTAAGCCGCAGGCAGGGTCAGGCGGACCGATATGAAAACAGATATGAAGCGAGGTCAACCACAATACAATCAGGATGACCTGGAACCCCACAATGACTCAACGAGAAACAGGCAGGACTAGCGTCCCCCAAAAAACAGCCTGCCCCGGAAAGCCTGTGCGTTGTCTCTCAAACGGTGCGAGCGAAATTTGCATCGAAGACAGAAGATATCACTGCCCGCGCCTTTGGTGTTGCATGCCTCCTTCTATATTCGCCAGGGGCAAAACATGCAGTTGCTCTCGGCTTTTAGCTAGCGAGGTTGAACGCAAAGGTGGTGCCCCCCGTCGAATTCGGGCCACCAGTTGTGTTTTGGCTATATCGTGGTTTCTTGTTAGGCTTGTTTGTAGTATCCTTATAGGATCTTTGGTTCGTTCCTGTCAGTGCCTTCGGGCTGCGTTGGCCATGGATGATGAATAGTGCTTTTGCATGCCTACGCTCTACACAACGATTATCAGGAACAGACGTGTTCATGGCGGCGTAATGCTATTTTCCGGAGACAATGAACCCGCCTCTCCTCTCTCAAGGTTTCCCATCCAACGAAACACTAGTGAAACACACCAAGCGCCTTGCTCCGCCTCACCACAATTCAGGAACGCCGCCTCGAGGAATAACGCAACAAGACCAACAAGACCAACAAGACCAACAAGACCAACAAGACCAACAAGACCAGCGTTCGCGAGGATGTTGTGACGCTTGGTTTTTGGTGGGGGTTGGGGTTAGGGACATGCGTACGAAACCCCTATCTCTCTTTCATAGTACTGTAGATCATTAACTAAACCCTCGCTAAGGCGGTTCAAAAAAAGCCTCCATAATCTCTCCGTCACCTGCAGAGTGTCCCCCAAGTAGATGTCGAAGTGCGTCTTGTCGTGGATGGACAGCTTCGCGTTGATCGCCTGCGCCGCCGCTTCCCTGACCGTGCCCACCGGGCACAGCTGGTCGTGTTCCGCCGCGATGAAGAGAATCGGCGGCCGAACCTGCGTTCCACGCGCATTGCAGGCAGGCGCGTATGCAAAGGGTGCGAGCACAGCACCGCCGAAGGAGGCTCTCGTTCAGGACACATGGCCCTCACACTCTGAGGTTGCTTGTTTCCCCCTCGCGGACTGCGAGCGGTATACCACGAAGTAACACATGAGAGCGCGCACACCGCACAAAACATCCTTCTCCCCTTCCAACGGGCTTGCCACATTTCGTTTGTTCCGATCAAAGCTGAACAGCCATAGAGAGCCATCTGCAGGGGAACAGCACCCCAAGACAGGGAGAGTGGTGACTCATTTACTTCGTAACCACCTTCTACTCAGCAAGACCATACAAACAGGCAAAGGGAAAACGCCTGTTGCCGACACGGCCGGCAGTGGCAAGGCCACGGCTGGCTCCCCTCTTGTACCAGAAGCCGCGGACTGTTGTAATAATCTTCCCGACCTCTCTTGGTGCCTGTCTCTCTTCCGATGAAAATAAGCGGCACAAATTGACGGGCATAACTCGGAACTCTTGTATGCATACGTTTCGACTCTGGTAGGTCTTCACCCAACACCTAACGCGTACCGTGGCAGCGACCACTGGTCCATAAACCCACCACCTAATCCCAAGGCATCTCCACTCGCCGGACTCATGTTACACTAACCGACGCCTAGCAAGCATGAGGGAGGAAGAACCGCGACCTAGCCAAGCGACTGTACCTCCGAAAGTCCCCACAACAACAGCAGCGCAAAACGTGTGCATGCCAGACATGAACTAGAGCAAAACAAAAAAATGAATATCTATCTTGCAACCAACAGCACCGCACCTTGGGGAGAGCCTTGATCGGGCTGTACATTCCCACCATTGCTCCGACGCGGGCGCAGACCTGGTTCCTCCACCCGCCAAGAGTTTTTGATGGGTGCTACAACAAAAAGAAAAGGAAAAAGGGGTAAGGATTCTTAAGACATGGCTAACGATCAATCTGAACCGTGATTGAGAGAGAAAACTTGAAGGAGGAACGTAGCTGTCTTATGTTTTGGGCACATGTACCGTGCGAGACGGGCTGGTGACTGGCGGAACGGTAGACAAAGTGGGAGCAACACGGACAGACATTTTCCGTCCAGGAAAAGGAGCGCCATACTATTAGTGTAGGTTGACCAAGTGCAGACACCAAAACAGAACAGGGGGGAAAATCAACAACCTCCAGAAATTACGCGCCAGGTACACACCAGGGTTAGACCATAGCCAGTGGTGTGATATCTTCAGGTTCCCGACGGACCAATGTACGAGACAAGTCTAACCAATCAGCCGCAACCGAGGTACGGTTGCTCGTGTTGATCCTTCTTTTGCGATTTGCGATCGGTACACCAACTCTATGACAGAGCGAGAAGGGGCCTGCGCCCCCGCAATTCAACCACGTTGGCAAGGACAGAAGGATGTCGTCCAAGCAACGGGACAATCGTAGACGCCGCATGGCGAGTGGCTCACCTTTGCGAAGTAGTTGTCGCGTTCATCCTCCGAGAGCTGCATGAGGGCCACTTCCTCCCGGGTACTCACCAGACCGACGTACCTCTGTCGAGACAGCAATAGGTGGGAAGGAGAGCGGTATCAGCACAATGGCCACAGCAAGCAAATGGCCGAGCCTCATGGGAGTTAGGGTCCACGCGCGGCGTGACCCAGCACGAGTGTTGCGACACGCACGCCCTCTCCCAACCTATTTTGAGTAACACCATGACCTCAAAACGCGTGCCTAACGGGCAACGGTGAAGCCCTCCTCCCTCCAATCATGTTCACAGCTAAACCAGACTGCCCGCCATGAACCTGGTGCCACAACACACAAATGACCGTTTGCGGGTTCGATTCTCTCTGCGGAGGATTTTGTTTCCAGCGGGATTTAGTTCCAGAAAATGTGTGGGAGAACGCGGTCTAGTTCGTGAGTATACACACTGTGTCCAAAACTCGCCCCCGCTATAAGGGAGAATGCTCACCGCCTGCATGCCTAGGAGACCCCTGAGCATGTCACCGATTGCTGCCGCCGCCATCTTCAAGGCACCAGCCTTTCCTCGCATCTTCAAGCTCCTCTTGCTGGCTGCACGGCCGTCTAGGTGGGGAACCTAACAGCGGCATGGCGAGAACGGGAGCATGGCCTTAGCCCACCGTGCCATCCAACGAGCTGCTAGACCACGAACCGCTGCTCGCGAGCGTGTTAAGCGCGTGTGCGTTTTCGAGTTAGCATCGATCGCGCTAACCGGCTGACCATTGCAAATACGTCAGTCTTGTACTGTACAGTACCGGGATTAAAAAAACGCGAGTTCGTTCTCTACAAGAACGTTCTACCCGGCGGGGGGGCGCAGGAGTTGTGTGTGTGTGTGTGTGTTTTTTTTTTATTATGAGCATCGACCGCGCTACCAGCTGACCAATGAAAATACGTCAGTCTTAGTGCGGTTGAAAACACAAAACACTTCTATCTGCCATGAACTGGGACCCCGTGAGGGGGCAGCATGGGGGGGGGGGGGGGGGTGTACTCATAGTCGTGCATGCCGTAGTCGTTTGACCATTGACCTCGCATCCCTACAAAGCCGGGACGGAGCACGCCGGGTTCTCACCGGACCAGGCTCTCACATCACCAAGCGCGAAGCGCCGTGAGGTATTTGGCGAGTCGCATGAAGGGTGAGCTGCATCCTGCTAAGGGTGTTCGGCATCTTGTGCTTACTTCCTTGCGTACGGATGACAGCTACGTATGACTTAATTTATTTTCTGGCGCTTTCACTTCCAGAGACAGTTGTAAGCACTGTGTAACTGCCTCGAGGGTGCTTGACCATTTTAACACAACGTGGTGCGATCATCCCCCGTTGCGCGGAGTGAGGTTTCTCGACCCCGCACAACATGATCTAGTCGACCACCATTATGGTTACCGCCAAAAAAAAAACCGAGGTAAAAGAAAAAAAACGGTAACCTGGTTGCCGAGTTCACGAAGTGAATTGGCTTGTTTTACAACGTCGTTGCCAAGCGACGAAAACCCAATCCCGATGGCGAACACCGAGTGGGGGGCTTGTTTTACAACGTCGTTGCCAAGCGACGAAAACCCAACCCCGATGGCAAACACCGGGGGGGGGGGGAGGGGGCAGCATGGGGGAGGCTAAACTATCCTTCGGATCAAAGACAGAAAAAGTGTGTGGTGTGTGTGTGTGTGTTTACTCCATCAAGTCTGGCGCCAGTCCGCACGCGTTCCGGTGCACATGTCCGACTCATTAGCCGGGATCATGCAGGAGGAAGGTTGCACAGGACACAGTACTATTATCACGTTGCAGTCACCTCTTTGTGCCGCGCCAGGGAAGAAAAGGGATAGACTAGTTAGTGACCCATCTCTACCATGGCAGCATCGCGTACCAATGCACCGCCAACAAAAACGTGCGACAGGCACCGCGCGATGCGGCGCCATTAGTCAATCATCCACAGAGGAGGAAAACGTTTGAAGATTGAGACAGTGGCGTGTTCCCACTAGCCACACGATGACCAGGCATCTCAGTCCGACATCGGTAGTCACACGAGAAAGCACAGATATGCGCGCTACGTTACCACACGGAGCATCCCCCCCCCCCCACCGGCGAGCCAATCACTCGCCCCGGTCTTCCAACCCCAGGCCCAATCAGCGCTGAATCACCCCCTGCCCTTCTCGAAATCACCTACCTGCGAGATGATCGCTCGGATGTCTCCCACGCGGCTAGGGACGTCATCAGCCGCAGCAACGTTCAACACGTGACCCCCAGCGAAGGAGGTGCCCCACAAGGCCACGCGCGAGCTGTCGATCACGTCGGCCAGACTTGGCCCGCGGACGTAGTCGAGCGCCGCAATGTAGTCCTCCACGTGCCTGGTTCGGTTGGACAGGTGCATGAGGCAGGTAGGTCGGTGCAAGCGGCATCGTGGCATGAACAGGTGGCTACAAGGGACGTTGCACACGGTGGCATGAGGCAGGTTGGTAGGTGCAAGGGGCGACGGCAGAGACACGCCGTGGGAGGTTGGCCTCATAGTAGAAAAAGCGAACAAGACGGAATCAGCCTATTAATAGTTGTTCTCTGAAAACTGACGGGAGCGAGACCCGTCTAATCTTGCTTCTTTTCGTCACGACCAACAAGACACATCTACGGTGCCCCCCCAATGCCGGATCGTGGCTACCAACACCCGGAACTCTAGGTTGCCGACGAGGGGAAGGGGGCGAGGGTCGCTAGCATATATACGAAGTACCAACAATGGGGAAGGCCGAGGGGACACCCATCGCGTCGGCTGTTCTCACACGAGGGAAACGGCGCTACCTATGTTCGTTCTTTGTGTGGGTGCGGTCGAAAATAAAATGAACCCCACCAACCAACTGATCTACATCGGAAACGACATGCTACAGCAGTACATGTTCTTTGTGGGACGTTGCGAAAAAAAATCCTTGTCTGTAAGCGTCCCCCATCAGGGGGGTTCCGGCGGAGACTGTGAGGGTACCAATGGTTCCCAGCCGTCGTGCCCAGGCCTCTAGACGCTTGCTGGTGAAACCGTGCAACGCTCACCTCCAGGGATCGACCAGATTTCTGGGCATTCCGTCACTCCCGCCGAACGTGCGGTAGTCGAAGACCAGAGTGGCAATGCCACGTTCCGTGAAGGCTTCCGCATATTTGCCCAAGCCCATATCCTTTACACGAGGCACGTTCAACCAGACGGAAGAAGGCACAAAAAAACAAATCGGAAGTCGCGAGGGATTGTGGCGCTGGCGGAGTAATTCCGACGGTCGTTTGGCAAGAATCCAGCAAACGAAGCTAGCAACGGCCGCAGGGGCTTAGTTCACCTCATGTGACATGGCAAGCTGCAGGGTCGGCTTTGTCGGCCCTTTATCTAGCAACCCCAAGATTAGCCAGGTTGAACGTCAGCATGGGTTGGGCAAGATAGTAATCCACACACCCTTGATGGATCGAGTGTTAACGATCGATTTCTCCGCCACAAAAGAGGGTTTCAAACAAGAAAAATAAATCATACGTTCGCGGAAAGCTCTCCATGAGACGGTTCCAAAGCTGCGACCCCCATCACTCTTCTTGTCCCCAACACTAATCGAGCTCTGAAAATCGTTCCGGGTGTGTGTGGGATCGATCTCATGCCCCCCACGTCCAGCCGGCAAGATCCACCGAGGCCACTACACCAAGTCCGACCGAACCCTGAATCCCCACCGACGTCATTGCCGTAACACACCTTTTGGCCGCCCATGCCGTGCGCCATGAGCACGATAGGCGGGAGGCGTCCGGCCTCTGCACTCTCGCCCTTTTCCGTCGGAACGTACAGCCAGGCGTGGCATCTCACCCCCTGTGGCCCAGAAACGTCAACACGAATAAACGAAACAAACAACATCGGGTATGAGGACGTAGGCGGGTGACGGCGATTACACCACACGAGTCAGAACCGAAGCGTCGGGATGAGAAGAGACGCGGAGATCGAGGAGGCAGCAGTGGCCATCGAAAGGTACGTGGTACATGTGACAAAAATGTACTATCTGTAGCACCAACGTGAAACTTTAAGCCCGGCATCATTCCAGCAGTGCCAACCTCCTATTATAGGACGGCGGGACGACGGGACGACGGGAGGTAAGGAGAGAGAGAATCGCCGCGGAACGACAAGAACGAGAACCTACTTCTGTAGACCGAAGAGCAGAATCAACCAGTGGCCAGCCTCTTCCCGATTCGATCAGGACACACCAAACTCTACTATGCTTATTGAAGAGCCTGGTAGCACTCGCAAGCGAAGCGTGTAGTCGAGCGTGTGACCAACCACATAGAAAGAGAAAATTGTATATATAGAAGTACGAGTTTTCGTTCGGTCTCACCTTGGAGTAGAACCATTTCACGGATCTCGCAAAGCCTGGCGACGTAATCAGCTCGCTTTCGGGCACATTCTCCAATTTCACAAATAGCGGCAAGTCCGTCTGGCCGTCCGGGTGCCCGAAGCAAACGGGGGGAAAAGCGTAGGGTGTGGCGTGCGTGCATAGCATGTTAGCCAAAGCAATAGGACAAGTGTGTCGAGCGGGTGCCCCGCAGTATCGCCGCCCTCGCGAGAAGCCAAGAGCATGTTCGCGGTACAGACAGAAAACGATGCAACCTCTTCTACTATTATACATTAGTTTCTTGCCTTGCTATTACTCTATTCTAGAGTAGTTTTAGCCGAGGGTGGGGCTCTTCCACTAGAGTTGTTATGCTTGTGGGCTATACGCGGCCTCTGGAGTTAAGTCTGTAGCTGCTGTAGTGTGTAGTGTAGGTTGTCAAACGGGCTCACAAATTATGCTCAACTTGCTATATTGGATACTATACTTCGACAATGTTGAGCATGAAGTGCTTACAGTAACTGCCAAGTTCTTAGGTGCGGGCGCTCAAACTATGTCTAGCACCTCTCTGGGGAATAACACGCTTGTACCACTCTAGCGTTGGATTGACGACCTCGGTGTATGCCCAATGAACTTCAGTACTTCAGCAACTGCCAAGTCCTTGAAAAAGTAGGATCTGGATGACCACCCCTGCTGTACTGCTGTAGGTTGCTCTTGCGCGCCACTTGCATCCCGAAGGAAGCACGAGCACACAACACACAACAAACAACCGCGCGCGGGAGATTGTGGCACGAGAAGACAGGACAAACGAACAAACCTGGTAACGCCCCATGCGGCGAGACATGTACAGTACGTACATCCGTGCTACTGTAGCGAATCAACTACATACATGTAGATGTGGACCTTTGGTACAACCGCCGCGATGAAGCAAGATTGAGACGCAAGGGGGTCAGTGGCACAAGCACACAAGCAAACGGCACAAACGAAGGACAAGCAAACACGTGACACAAGCACCAGGCTCGCAATGCCAGAACCCCTCTGTGTGACCAACCCAACAGGCTGCACTGCACCCTGCTGCGGTGGCGGCTCGATGAACCACAGCAGTACTGTAGACCCGTCAGCGCGGAGGCACCTCTACAGCAGCAGTACATGCCGCTACATAGTGGTACATACGTCTCGTCAGTAGGTGCCTGAGCAAAGCAGGATGTTCTGAACGTTTCATGTACAGCAGCCCCCCAAGACTAGCCAAGACAAATTTGCAAACAAGGGACAGGAACTGTAGTATGGTTGATAGTGACAAGAACGATGTAGGTGTGCAGGAGCGCCCCACCAAGCAAGCGCAGGATACAGCAGTAGGGATTCTTGCCCCGTAGATCTTACGTGCTCGAGCTCCTGATTGCGCACCACCTTCTACCCTTGGCATTTGATGCGGCACAGCAGTCCCGGTAGCACGGTTTGAACCACATGCGATGAACGGCAGTATTTGTTGTGATGGAATCTGGTTGCGCCAACAAACTGCGGATAAAAATACATTGCTTGCCGTCTACCGCTGTCTCGCTTACCCCTGTGTACACGTCCGCCACACCAGCGATCAGGATCCCCAAGCCTGCAGTGAACACAGCAGAGATAACTCTGCACAAGACCATTGTACCGCCAAGGCTGACCAAGCTTCGTGATGCAGTGCTCCATTTTGGACATGACGGCTTTCACAGGATAACGCGGCGAGATAAGTCCGGGGATGGGGGATACCGACTGACTCTCTCGTAAGCTGGCTCTCTCTCCAAGGCACTCTTCTGCCGACACTCCTTCACTGACTCCCGCATCAGTTTTGCGTGGGCGAGCACGGATACTGTTTCCCGCCGGCTTGTAAGGCTAGGTGCACCGAGCGTGAGGGGCCAGACACTATCGCACAAGCAGGTAAGAGACAGTGTGGCGCGCCTATAATACTGGACACACGTTTCATGTTACAAGTAGACATGTAACTTCCGTTGTGACTAAGTTTCAAGTCAGTTTTTGCGCAAGACAAAACCTTTTCGCTTACACGATGTTTTACCGAGAAGGAATGTTGAGTGGGGATTGGGCGAAGATCCGGGGTACACACACTGCGGCTACATCGTGACCAAAAGCCATCGGAGATGTGAGGCGAGAACACGCTGGGCGGGGTAAAAATTGGTGATGGCCGAGAGACGGAAAAACAATGTGTACTGCAACTTGTGTACTGTGTAGACTTGATATTTTATGCTTTAATAAGTACTACGTAAATTTTTCAAATTGGTGACGGCGTGACAGCCACGCGGCTTTGACGGCTTGGCCGGTCGGCGCCAAAATTCCGAGCCTGCGTGTCAGACCAAAGCTTTTATGGAATACCTCCAGCAATTTTTGTCACCCGAGCCTACTATCTCGACGGGAGCGAAAATATGCAGATGTTAAGGAGTGTGGCTGCTAGCTTGAATAGGGTACATCTTATTGTTGATAGGATGTGGGTCGGTCCCAGGAGGTATACCCTTCAGACACCTACCCTCTTAGGATTTGTCTAGTCTGCGTACCCCCTGAGGTGAAGTTGGATCCCCACTTCACCTCAGACCCGTGCTGATCGTCTCTCAGCAATAACAAGCAACTTTCTCATCTCATCGTGATCGTGGACAAGCGTGTCAACGACAGAACCTACCTTCATCTATCTCTAGGAGCAAGCTACCGCCCACGGCTTCCCCTCCTTTAAACTTGGCGTCAGCTGGATACTGGTTCGAATCTCCTTGGGTGCACGTTTTTTCTCCTGACTTGGACATTTTCCCATGGACACCATGTGTGTCAGTCCTGAGAACACCTCTTGGAATCGATCCTATAAAGAACCTTGTGACACTTCCATCGAATTACCCGTCCTGGCCACAAGAGGTTCCCAGTTGAGGGTAAATTCTGTGGGTGGAGAGTGTTAAGGAGGACCCGATTCGCAGGGTATCCGTCGATTGACTTTTACCAGAATCGGTACACCTTCGCACATGGCGTCAGCCCCTCCTTTAAACTTGGCGTCAGCTGGCATTACACGGTAAGCGGGTGCTGGACGCGGCCTCCACACTGCTGTGTGTTGTTGTCACGCTTTCTTCATAATCACGGGGTTGTTTGTTATTTGGTCTCACCACCCACGAGATTCTAGACTTAGCCTTCTCTGCTTCTTCTCTTGTAGAGGATGCTGGCTTGCGATGCTTTCGCTAAGCGCCCGAGGGACTGGGACCTTGCGAAGGATACGCGTCTCGGCGGTCATCGCGATGTTGTAGGTGATTTTTCCTACGCTCGCCGCCCCTCCCAAGCTATTTTGTCTGCATCGGCGGTCCATGAAGTTATTTCGGTGGCGGACACGCTTTGCATGAAGCAACCGGAGTTGCTGTCTTTGTGTAGCGGGACTCGAGACGATAGCATGCTTCCCGCGTCCGCTACCACTTCCACTGCATTCATGCCGGCGTACCGGCCGATGTCCGCGGATTTCCCTGTGGTGCTCTCCGATTTGACTCCGCTTGTTTCGACGTGGAGAGCATTGTGTGCACACAAATTGGGTGTCAGCCGCCCCACCAGCCTTCCCTCCATTTTTCGCAATCACATGGAATTTTTTTTGGAGCATCATTCACCCTCAAGGCATTCGAATTGGAAACCTTTCAACAGCGCAAACCCACAGCGGTCTTTGCTCGCACTTCGGCACCCGTTGCGGAGGAACGCCGTGCTGCTCTGCGTGTGTTTTGGTCGGACAATCTCGTGTCTCCATTTAATACCGGTCCTTTTGTGCTAGCTTCCACTGCTGTGTATGCGTGGCATGGTGTGATTTTGGACGCCTTTTCTGCTTGGTTGGATCCGCTTCAACCTCGTGTACATCAAGCTTTTATCACCGGGCGTATGCTATCCTGTGGGTATCTCCGTTTTTCGCATGGACCTCGGCTTGCTTCTACCGCGATTACGCCCCGTTTTACTGTTTCCGCTGCAATCGGTTCTACTGTCGCAACAGTGGTTGGGGGAGACACATCTGCTGTTGCTGGCCGTTCTGCACTTGTAAAAATCGATAGTAGCTGCCCCTCCTCTGGCCCTGTCTTTTTGAAAAAAGAAAACACCATGTCCAGCGGCCATGTGGAAAGGATGGACGGCAATGAGGAAATCCTCGATTACGAGGCCGAGGGCGAGCCGTCCACCGTGGAGCTGATTGCAGGGGCCGGGATGGGCGACGAGAGCGAGTCCACTCCAGGCGCGTCCACAGCTGATGACCTGAGGTACAACATCGCCACGGCGGATCCGGCGGACCTGGAACAGGCGTACACCGCTGGACGGATCTCCCTGCGCGACGTGGTCAGGGCAGCTCGTTTGTCTCCTGGTTCCCCCATTTGCGCTCGCCCTTTCTCGCTCCCGCAGGAAGACATGGTGATGCACTTGTCGCAAGATGAGTTCGCCGCCTTTCAAGAATTGACCGAGATGTGGCACCGCGGTCTGGCTAGCGAGGTAGCGGCGGCGGAAGAGCGGAAGCTGCTGGAAGAGCGTGAGGCTGCTCTGGCGGATGATGCGAGGAAGCAGGAGGAGGAGCGTCAGGCTGCTCTGGCGGAAGCTGCGAGGAGGCAGGAGGAGGAGCGTCAGGCTGCTCTGGCGGAGGCTGCGAGGAAGCAGGAGGAGGAGCGTGAGGCTGCTCGGGCTGCTGCACAGAAGAAAGCGGAACTAGCGGCGCGCGAGGAGTATGTCCGGGCTGCTAGGGCGAAGCAGGGGGCGCTCCGATCACGGCTGGAGGACCTCGGGCACCGGCCGCAAGCTTCAACTTTGCTTTCGCGACCCGCCCATCGTCGTGTCGTGCCCCCTCCCACGCCCCAGGCGGCTCCGGAAGTGGCTGCTGCTCCCCAGGTTTCTGTGACGCTGGGTGGGCCGGCCGGGGATGCCGATGGCGCGTCGGACGACGAAGCCGAGGAGTACAGGTTTCACGCAGAAGACACAGCGTTCCTGTCCCGCCCCCTTTCCACGCCCACAGATGTGATCACCTTCCATGATGCTGACCGAACTAGTGCCCTTTTTGCTGGCCTCCAACAAATTGTGCGTGACCGCTGTCCTGACTCTTATACAGACCTTGGTTTTGCACATCTTGTATCGAGTCCGTTCCTCGACCAGCTTGAACCGTCCTTACGACAGAGTGTGTTTCGGTTAGTGTCTGC